AATGGATCTTACATGAAATGCCTCGAATGCAACTGGAACAGCCCCCCCATTCTTCTCCTTATTTGAATTGTCTCGCAACCAAGCTCATGTAATCCAGAAAACACGACACACTACAAACAGCTTCTACGAAGGCATGTGGTGCAGACAGCGCTGGTCCGACTGAGCCATTTATAAGCTTAGCAGCTTCCTCAGCTCTATGTCTAGACGGGAAATCTGCAATGTTAGACTTCGAAGGCACCCTGGAGACCCAACAGAGGCATTCATTCGCTCCCCATAACCTGGACAATTCGGCTAGAAGAACAAACAAGGACAGTGATTGCGACGAGGATTTGACAATGGCTTCCTTTATCGCATTGTTATCCACAAACAGGAGCACACGGCGCCTTTGCAACAAGGGCTGCAGCTGCTGGAATGCCACGACTATGGGAAACAGCTCAAGCTCTGCAATGAGTTGTTCCTTGTTGCCAAGCGACTTCCAGTGGCGCAGTAGGTTCTCTGGAACCACCACTTCGTGGACCTGTCTTATGTTGGTGAGTGGGTCCACACATACTACGCCTGCGCCTGCGGGGGGATGCTGCATCTGGCTCCCATGCCCCATCAGTGAACAAGAGTACTGGTCGAGCAGAATCATGAACAGAAATTTGCCGGGGCTTGGCACACCGCAGCACAGTAGCAATATAAGACCCTACCACAGCCAATTCTTGCTTGTAGGAAACGTGCCAACCGTGCGCTGCAATCTTTCCCAGAAATTGCATGGCAGGCTTCAACACCGAGCCCATATACTGTCCTTGGGCAAAATTGAGCTGTCCTTGCAAAGAGGCCGCCACCCCGGGTGGCACTTTTTCGTCTGTGAGCAGCTGATCAACCAAGCCTACGAGTGACGCCACTTGGGCCTCCTTGTTGCGAAGGAGGATGTGGCCACTGTCGAACTGAGTCAAATCAACACAAACACCCAACACATTGAAGCATGAGGCAAAGCGTTGGGCCTTGACGCCTTCTTTTGCATATTGCCAACCCAAAAGGTCAAGGATCTGAGTTACACATTCATGTGCGCAATCAGCCGTCGCTCTGGGCTCAATGCACGGGAAATCGTCATAGTACACAGTCTGCCAAAGATTAAGCAGTGAGGTGGTGATGTGCCACACTGACTTACTTACTCTATTAAAGGCGTACACAGAAGCCGCAGACCCAAACATTAATACTGAGGACACGAAATAAGCAGGCTCTTGGCTGTGGGGGTCATACACCACTATGATACGAGTCCACAAATCCTCCATATTTGGACCCAGCTGCTTGTAGGCAGACTTCAAGTCTAGCGTTTTCCCTAAGAGCTCTAGGTTCCCCTCCCACGCAGGAGAGGGGTGACATTGTATGGTGCTCCCGTCAGACAAGCAAAGCCCCGACGAGGCTTTGAGCCTGAGCTTTTGAATGCGCAACAAAAGCGAAACCAAGGAATCTATATCCAGCAGCTGCAGTTTGTTACTAGTTCCAAAAGCAGAGTTGAGGCCCGAGGCCAAGCCGTCGTCGATGAGTCGTATTTTGTCGCTCTGCTCCAAAGCAAAACGTCGAGTTGCCAGCCAGTAAGGGTCGCCGACCATTGCAGTCACCCGCGTCTCAGTAAAAGGTCCACGCATCCAGCCTTTGTGGCATTCCTCCAAGGTCTGATTCCAAACCTGCACGTCCAGATCTGGCTTCAAGCTTGCTGTACATTTGGCCGCGGCTGTCTTCCGGAGCCAAATGGATTTAGCCCTAAGCTCTTGTGGAGTCTGTTGCATAGGCACAAATCCGTGAGGGAACTGCTCGGAGAAAGCTGCTTGACCAACCAAACTAAAACCCTTAGTGACCTCATCAAAGAGAGTTTTATCGTGGAAGTCTGTCAGTGTCATGAGTTCCTTCCACAACAACAGTTTCTTGTCCTTGAGCACTACCTGCATTTCAGGGTTAAGTGACTGGTGTAGTTCAACTTCACCAGCTTGGAGCGACAATGCTAAACGCTGGACTTTCTTGACTGCGAGCTTTCTTTTGGCGTTCGTCAGGGCGGGCCCATCATTCAACACCCGAACTACATTGCGGACCAACACATCAGGAATTTGAGGTATTGCATCAATGGGGTGCTTGGCCAACAGCGCTGCCTTTACAAACTCAGCAGGAGTCCGGAAAACCCCGTACACATCTTGACTAGGGTCAAAATTTTCAGACAAGTCTACCTGAGTTCCTCTGGCATCATCAAACCCACCATCAATAACCCCTTTTTTCAAGACTGGTAGAGTGCGGAGGAGCCGGTACTCGCACGAGGCCGCGGGGCAAGCGTCTGTGATGAGCTTATATTCGGCCACCAAAGGAGGCTGGCGCCGTTGGCGAAGAGGCGGCGGCTGCGGCCGCGCGGGGAAACACTCAGGGGTTGGGACCGCACCGCGGTCGACTGCAGCTTGTTTTATCAGAGTGGCAAGCCGGTCGCACAACAAAGGCGGGCATGCCGCCCTGGTAGCATTCAGACAAGGCGCGCAGGTCTCACCCTCATGAGCATGCGTGCACCGGGCACGAATCGGGCAGAGAAGGTTGGCAGAAGCATACCAACAATGCCATGTAGAGTCGGCCCCTCCATGTGCACAGGATTGAAAGTGGTTAGACTCCAGAGAATCCCAGGCAGCGGCCAAAACAGGAAACTGCTTGGACAAAGCTGCTACAGCTAACCAGAAGTAAGAACGACTTGGGTTTGCAACGCTGACCAGGATGCCCCTCCTAACCGCAATGTAGACAACACCCAGTATCAGAAAAAAGAGCTGGTTGGCTGAGGCCACCCGAGATCGGTCTTGTGGGCTGAGAGAAGGTAATCCCAGTGGCTGTTGGGATGACCGAAGACCAGGACCATGGACTGCGCGCAAGGAGGTTTGGCACGGCGGTGTGCAATGACAATACGCCACATTTGCGTGGGATAATGCGTGCACCAGAATGTCGCAGTGTGCCTGTCGTGTGAGATCCAACTGCAAAAGTTTCGCCTTGGGCGTCTTACCGACTGCGCAATCAATTGGGAGAATGGAAAAACCCTCTTGACGCAGGGAATTGGACAGCTGTGCGCCGCCGGCGAAGACTTCAATGCACAAAAGCTGGTCAACAGGAACGGAAAAATCTACTGATGTAAACGAATTCGGTATGTTGACTTGCAACGGCCCAGATGAAAATTCCAGCGCGGATGCGGGCTCCAGGGGACGCCGGCTGGCTGCGTCCCCTACCTGTAGCTGTCACGAGGTGCAGTCGGTGTGAGGGTGCTTACCCCCGCATGACTTCAGCCAACAAACATGGACTCCTCGCGGACAGCGGTCTTTGTTCTGATGGTTGCATCGGCCGCGCAAATGCGTTGGCCAGCCTGAGTTTCAGGATGACAGCTGTCGGGCAGGTCAAACGAAGGCTTGCCTCTCTGTCTTCCTTTGCCCTTGCCTTTCTTGTCCCACTTGAGTCGCTTGGGGTCAGGCGCGTCATCTTGCAAAGATCGGTCGACGAGGGGCAAGGGCAGGAGATGGTATCGAGTCTCTGGCGCTTCGAAACATCTGCTCAAGATGTCATCCAAAGGTCTCCCAGGCACAGTGAGATGTGTGCCTCTGGATGCCTGAGCCGCGGCCATCCACATTTCTTGATCAGCCAAAATGACTTGTTGTAAGGACACTGCGCGAAACCCTTTAACTGGCTCTTTGGTAAGCAGGGCAAACATCCTTTGGATTATGGAATCTAGTTTCTGGAATGTGCACAATCCAGCTAGATGATAAGCCAGCGCGCGCCTCTGCATAGCGAGTTTGGCCTTGAGGTCACCTCCAATGTCAGCTCGGATTTCTTTTTGTCGTTTGGACAGTCGCATGGTGCCGTCATTCTTGAACTCAATGGCCTGTTCATGTTTGTTGTGCAAAAGTTCAGATTCCCGCGACAGGCAATCTTTGAGCGGAATGTATCGGATGGTGGATTCTTCGGCTTGCTGAACAACAACATCTACTAATTTGTGAGCCGGCTCCAACTGTGAGTCAATGGTGAGGCCAACTAAAGTAGTCTTTGCAGCTTCGAGGCGCTCAGCCCGCTCTGGCATCAAGAGCTTTCTTGGAGGTTCATCATCTCTACGATCTAGCCGGCTTCTCAGGTCGGACATTGTGAGCGTATGGCTTTCAAAGAACAGACGTCGCCATCCTGCCAAGTCGCCTGGGGAGGGAGGCTCCCCCAACACCTTAGTCAAAGCAGTCACAAAAGGCGTCTCATCCGGCGAGCCCGGCTGAAAGCTTGACACAAATGCGAACTGACCGAAGGTAGCAAGATTTTGGCCCTCTAGGCTGGCAATGGCAGCCTCAGGCAAGCCTATCTGCCTAGCGCGATCCTTAAAGGATGCGCGGCTGTCCATGGCTGAAGCCCACACCCAAACAAGTTGTCACCTACACGTCCGATGTCTGTATCAGAGGTGATCTACTATGCAAGCGACATAATACCTGCAAGTCTGCACGTCAACACTTGTGTCGTTGATAAACAATAGTTGATAATGCACTCGGGGTCATGTTTTAAAAAAAAACCTTGAAATGAGCGCGCGCGCACGCACACAAAGGCTGAACAGGGTTCCTGTTCCCACAATGGAGCATCTAACAGAAAACAATCGCTCCTGACACTGGACTCGTGAAGTCCTGGTGCCTTGACACCTTGACAATGGGATTTACTCCCGTTACGCACACACTCATCTCCCACAAACCGACACAGCGAAAGCTGCAACACGGCTGAAAATCAGCTTGACAATGGCTTCAAGCCTGTGGAACCAATGGAGGCCCCAGAAACACACTCTGCACATGTTGTTAGTAAAGAAACATCCGATTTCTGAGAAAAACCCTTTCAGGAAAACAATCAACACATATTGGAAAAAATCTCGCGAACAAAGAAAGACACAAACGACAAAAGCAGCGTGTTTCCTTTCACTCCAGCAATCATCCCTCTAGGTATGCGCTCAACATCTCTTCTCCAATCACATGACGACACTGCTGGCAGATCGGCCATTCATGGTTGAGATCGGAGTCAAAGTTCCTGTAAAAGGAACTGACCTTTCGTCCACAAGCCAGCTTCTCGTTAGCACCTACGAAATGCAAAATGCCTGAGACCCTGTGCTGCTTTATTCGGCCGTTGGCCTTTGCGGCCGCTATGTATATGCGGCCCCCCAGCTCTGCCTGTCCCACAGCCTCTTCAACTGCTTCGGCTTCTTCGATGTCCGACACGTCATCTGTGTCTAGAGGTCCATAAGCCACCAGCTTGTGATTTTCGTCCAGCTCAGCTGTCAAGACTTCGATTTCCTTATCAATCCTAGCTGCTCGGGACAGATCTGGGTTGAATCTATGCGCCACTATAGCACGGAGCATGCGTGCAATGGCCACTTGTAGGACTGCAACGTTGTCCCGGCCATAGGTCAGAGGTGAGGCCACACCAGCATCTACATGGTGACCCAAAGTACGCCGCTGCTGGAAATCTAACACGCCAAACATTGTGGACCATGCGAGAAGCGTTGTCTTCAGGCTGTGCGTGGTGAGGGTCTCACCTGAAGGGCAGCGGAGTTGCACAATGTCCCTCAGCCATAGCATGCCTTCCGCCGTTGACATGGGTCTGTCCAGCCAACATCCACGCTGTTCAGAAAATGCAGGCAGAATAACCTCTTTCTTGTCCAGTTTCTGCTGTTGACGCACTTCCATCCAGCGAACGGCCCAACTGCGCTCCGAGTCGAGCACGTGGCCCAAAGCAACTAGCGGTAACAACATGGTTTTCCTTTCTTTGGTGTGCGCTGTTTTGTGAACGTTGGTGCCGGCTTCGACGAGCACAGTCTTGCCTGACTGGGATATTGACAAGTCCTGCGCGTGCATCGCATCCGAAAATCTGCACACTGCCATTAAACAAAACAAGAGGTAGCCAGCAATGACCACCACGTGAAATTGCTCTTCCTGCAGAACCGCAGCTTCAAGCGCACGAAGTTCAGACACATGTAAAGGCCGCGCCTGCACCAGAGTGGGCTTGCGAACATACATGTGGTGCGCGACACCCTTGACTCTGGCACTGATATCCCTGTCAGGCTCTAGGCTTACAAACCCCAACACTGAATGAAAAAACATCACTGATTGAAGGAAGCTTTCTCCACTGGTTGCACCTCTTTGAGACTGCTTGAGATGTGTTAGGTAGTCATACAACATCGACTCTTTGATGTCCATTCCAGTGCCCCTTGAGGACGACCGGATCCAAACAAACATGCCCCAAAATGCTCTGACTCTCTTGTAGAGTGTCGCCGTGGATTTATTGGCTAATGCATCATTAAGCGAGGCATTGACTACATGAGAATACGATGCTGGTGGAGTTGACTTAAAAATGTTTTGACCAAAGGTTGTGGCATGCAAATCGGTCTCCACCATGATCTTGATCCATGTCAATGACCTGTGTCTCAAGTCATCGGGACTCACAATACACGTTGCCAGCTTTGCTCTCTTGGCACTCCGGGAAAAAGCTGGAGCAGCAGTCGATACCTGTGTGCTATGGCAAACCATATTGCGCATAAAGTCAGCTAGTCCCACAGTTGATCCCTTCAAGTTTTGTCTGCTGCCAAAGGAAGACAAATTTGGATTCAAAACTGGGTTCGACTCCCACGGCAACTTGACGGCAGTCCTGAGAGACTCTGACACGTGTCGGCATACATCTTCCGTGATCAAAGTGCTATCAGTGCCTGTATGGACAGCAGCCTTGCTAAGTGAAGAAGACCCCACTCTAGAACCTACTCCAGTCGCAACCTGGGAACTCATCTGAGTCGCCTCTCGAAAAACGGCATCTTTCCCCCCTTCTTCCATTCAACGAACAAAAGCGTGACTTGACTTGCTGGGAAAGTGCACATCGCTGGAACTCAAGCTGGAAAAGAAGGTCGGGAGCTGCCATCCTGGAGGCAATCCGACATAGCTGTGTCCGACATGGCTCCCACCCACACCTCCCTGAGAGCACAAACACTGCATGCAAGGTTACGGTTAGGGACGTTTCCCTGCTTCCTGAAAAAGATGGGACTCTCAACAAGTTGAACGTTTCCATCTTTCCGGAAGTCCCTAAACCCAAGACACTCAAAGCTCACAAGTTCACTCGCACTTCTTTTTCTCTTTGCCGTCCTGAGACGAAAGGGGTTCAGTCAATGGAAATGCATCGAGTGCAACTGGGAATGGATCTTA